TCTAAACCACACGTGTGAACAGGATAAAATCCTGACTTGAACCTGTCCTGAACCTGATGTAAACTTGACCTGAACCGCTGAACAGCTATTACATCAAATAGCTGTTAAACCTGAACTTAGATCCGCACCACATATGCATGAATCAGCTCTAACAGTTTGATAACAATTAATGTTCTTTAACAAGATAACACACATTCTCTCTAATAATTATGCTACCAAAAGCAGTGTGTGTTGTGAATTGCCTCCAGCATTGCTCCTGTTTCTTCTTGCTGGAGACCACCATTTTGTTGAAGCCTAGAGCAGTTACTTCCTTACTGGAAACTCTCCCCTTTCCTTGGTCTCAAAAACTATGTCACTTTCTGTAGTTAAAATATGGACATTTCCAGCCTTGATTGTATGTCTTGGCTCAGTTAGAGAGGAAGACTGACAAAGCTTTACAGAAAAGAGAATATCAGGGAACTAAGATAAGACACTGTCTTTGTAAATGTAACTCTTTTCTGTCTCCTTGGAAGCAGAGGTTTTCCTGTCACCTTTCCTGCGTTTCTTTTCTCTCTCCCAAATCTGTGTTCCTTCCTGCACAGTCTGCCATTCCCATTGTTTTCTTCCCCCTTCAGCAACAGCAAAATTTAAAGCTGTCAGTTGATTGACCTCTAGTGGCTATGGTTTTAGGCTCAGTGCTGACAATAGAGAGAAACTGAACGTGTGCAGAGCAGGGCAGGATAGTGCATTACTGGATTTTAAACAGTATAGACACTCATTTTTAATGTCTTACATAGCTATAACTGCAAAAGTGGCCTGCTTGAAGTGATCTATCAGGACTTAATTTTCTGAGTAAAATTCCACTTTAACTTCCATAAGATGCTTGATGTCTGCTAAAATATGTAACTGTTACAATGTAATTTCAGCCAAATTGCTGTACCGACAGCAAGATAGTCAGAACAACATAACAATGTTTTTTCTTTAGACATGCAGTAGTTACACATTTATAGAGTGTAGGTGTGCATGTGTGATCTCAAAACATTTATAGAGGATCTATTTCCACTCTATTTACAACTAGAAAATTCTTTTTTTTTTAAGTCAAATCCCAATCTAAAGTCTTGCCCAACATTATTGGAAGAGTTTAATCATATAGCATTAGTATATGGTATGACAGTAGTAGAGTGTTTTTAAACTCAATAACAAACATTAAATATATTGCATTTCATTAGGGATGAGCCAATTATACCTGGGTTCAGCCGAGAACAAATTCACAGAACTTGAGTAAAGTTCGGGTGCTAAATCTGAACCCTGTTGACGTCCATGGGAGCCAAGTGTTAAAAAACAGTGATAGCCATTTTCTTGCCTAATAGTAAAAAAAATGGCATGGGGGCTGGGCACTGTCTTGGGGAACATGTACCAAAGAAGAGGGATGTTCAAGTCAAACTGGGACTTTAGAGTTTATATAATAAAAATTTCAAGAAGTGGAAACTGCATTTATTTTTCAACATACTCACCTGCTACATTTATAAACTTATCCCAGCTTTTAACTAATGCCTGGAAGGCTTCAGCATAGAAAGATTTCTCAGTATGCCTGCACCATCCTAGGGCAGCCTACTTCACTTTGTCATCAGTGATGAAATACGACCTCTGACGAACTCTTATAGGGGCCCAAACAGGTGGAAATCACTTGAAGTGAGGTCCGGGCTGTAAGGGAATGTGACAATACCTCCCAGCTGAGTTACTGTAATGTGCACGTAGTGAGCAGCATGAGCTTGTGCATTGTCCTGGAGAAACAGGATGCCCTTAGTGATAAAACCAGGCCGTTTTTTCCGCAGACTCATATGCACATCACTCAGAACATGACAGTAATGTTCACTGTTCATAGTGGTACAGCGGGGTAGAAAATCCATATAAATAATGCCACGTTTGTCCCAGAAAGCACTAGCCATCACTTTACCTGCAGACACAATTGTTTGAAATTTTTTTGGTGGTGGTGAGTCTGCACGCTTCTACTGCTTTGATGCTCATTTTGATTACAGAGTGAATGATTGCTGTGAGCTGGGAAGCACCATGACCGGGATCATCACTGATGTCTGTATGGCCATCTTTGAAACTTTGTATTACTGCTGCTGAGCGTCTCATCACTGTACTGTGCTTGAAGTCTCCTGTAGATATCCACAGGTTTTACGCCTTCATTCACAAGAAACTTCACCATATGCTGTTCCTTGCACGCACTAACGCTGTTGTCTGCCTTCTTGATTAACGGTCTCTGGGCTGGCCCGCGACATGTGTACCCTGCCTAAGTAATAGAACACACTTGCCACTTACTACTGTGTGTAATACCGCCACGCTAGCATCGCTTTTTATACCTTGTAAAATTAAAAGTCTCGGTTTGACTTGAGTGCCCTTTGTAATTTGATATTTCAGTCTCCACTTCACTAATGCTTTAATGGCAACATCACAACTGAAAAATTCCTTTATATAACCTGCCTGGGGGGGGGGGGGGGGGGGTGTCCCTAACATACCTGTGAAGTGAAGTATACAACTTACTGCAGCAAAACTGATATTTACAAGGAAAAAAATGCTGTTTAAATTGCCAACCAATGACAGCTTTGATTGTATTACTTCTGCTTGTAAACAAACAGTCAGGATTCCCCTTAGGTATACCAGACCCTTATCCAAGATGACGGTCTGATATAGATGTTAATAGGGGACCCCTACAAAAAACAAATGGCATGTGGTACACCCTAAAAATATATTTCAGACCCTTATTTTTGATTAGGGTCTAGTATACTTCAAAGGGAAAGCCCACTCAAAAAAATATAGGGTCCCCCAAAAATCCATACTAGACCCTTATGCAAGCATGTAGCCTGACATGACAGGATAGTGGGTTGATGAGCGTGCACACCCCCCTCCTGAACCATACCAGGCCATATGTCCTCAACATGGGGGGGACACTTTGCCAGGGTGGACCCAATCTGGCAAAGCACCTTGTTACCATGTTGATAAGGACAAGGGCTTCTTTCCCACAACCCTGTCCCAATGGACAGGGGCAGACTGACAACTCATGGGGCCCCCGGGCAATAGGGGATCATGGGGCCCCTATGTCCTCGCCCACACTCAAAAAAAAGCCTATAAAAAGGTACCAGGGGCATTTCATGGGGCCCCCACTGACCCCGGGCCCTGGGGCAGTGCCCAAGTGCTCAAATGGTCAGTCCGCCCGGGGGCATATCAGAATCTATAAGCCCACTTTAACAAAAAAAAGGACCTCAGATACCACTTATTCCCCTCTTAGTGAATGGGTAAACAAAGTACCCCTACTCATTGACGCACACAAAAAAAGTAAAAAGCAAATAGATACACAGTTTATGACTATTCCTTTATTTTAAAAAAAATGTTCCACAATGTAAATCCATCATCAGTTACCTTTCCAGCAATGCAGATGCACATCAATCACAATGAACAATGCTTGACGCCCGTTGAAAGAAACTCTGAGCTAAAAAGGTTCCTTTTTCTCATCTCTATAAGTTGAGAGGTACAGATAGGTAGTAATAGGACATTTCTCATACTGAGACAGGGAGAACTACTTTAAAAAGGTAATGTCATTTGCTAATTTAGGTGAAAGAAACAGCACCTTTGTAAAGCTATCAGGCTCTCCCCCATCTGCCCAAACCAGTTACATTCACTTAGATTAGTATGGACAAAGACACTATCACTTTATTTTGCATGGGTAAAGTGATTGTGCATCTAAAAATCATTATAAGTCAGGTTTTTATGGCTGTTATTGTGCTTCTGTCCCAGCGACACCTTTTCCCTTCTTTTCTTGTTGTCACAAGATATTATGTGAGGGGGAATTCCCTAATGGAGTCACAGGCAGCAATAAAAACTAGACAGCTTCTAAGTCTTCCTCATCCTTTCCAAAACTTAAAAGAAAAAAAAAAAACTTTTTAGTTGGGTATTTACTTCTCTGCAAAAAACAATGATGTTTTGTACTGACCCATCACCTTAAAATGCCCATCTTTTTCTCATTACTGTGCTCTTTGAAGATGAGCCCATGCCATCAACAAATTGTATTGTATAATTGCCTGTTTTATCTGCCATGCCTTTGAAAGCATTGTAGGACATTTTATTGGCACTGTAAATTTCATTTTGCAGGCCAGGTTAATAGCTATCTGCCTGTAAGTTTTGTCTTATATCAGCAAGCATTAAGAAAAACCTCTGTACTGTCTGTTGCATTTTGTAAATAGCTTATAACTTTCAGTGGAATTATTTTTTTCTTGTAGTACTCTCTGTAAAACTGAATGATAAAGACCTGTGACTAGTATTGTCAATCAAGGGGTTAAATTGCCTATCCATAAATGTGAATAAGTGCTGGAGTTGAAGAGAGCATACACATGTGTTTCACATTGGTGTTGCATATATAAAATACCTTTTAGAAGGGAAATATAGCCTGATTTTTCTCATCTAGTCTAGCTCCTAATTGAGTGAATATCCCTGTCACGCAAGATCAAATGTGTGCAATAATATTCACTTTTCTCCAGGCAACATCCTGCAACCATTACATTACCAAAATGTGAGTCCAGTATAGAACATAGCTTTTTTTTGCTGTGGACCTGGCTGAAACACTGTTTCCATTGTTAGAACACACTCTTTTAGGTTTTATATACAGTATATATAGTATATAATCCCCATTTCTTATCAAATTCTCTTATAGAAAGAACTATTCTTGTTGTCCATGGAAACTGTATTTTTATCTCACCCAGGTGTTTATGTTACACCTGGGGAAGGAATGGAGGAGTCTGGTTTCTATGGTCAACAGGCATACCAACAAATTAGATAGGATTCAAAAAATAATAAATCAGTTAAAGTTAAAATAAACCATCCTATCCTTTACTGTCAAGGAAGCTGCCATCTTAGCTTCTGATCTGTAGTTGCAATGATGCTGCACATGCACATGGCTGGTGTAGGTTGACGTCACTGCCCAGGATTGCAGTCATCCTGGCACTCAGCCGCTGTGCCAGGATCAGGGGCGGACTGACAACTCATGGGGCCCCCGGGCAATAGAGGATCATGGGGCCCCTGTATCTTTGCCCAAACTCAAAAAAAGCCTATGAAAAAGGTACCAGGGGCATCTCATGGGGCCCCCTACTGACCCCGGGCCCTCGGGCAGTGCCCGAGTTTCCAAATGGTCAGTCTGCCCCTGGCCAGGATGTAGACTGAGCTGTGCTTGTGCAGCTCAGTGTACATTCCAAAGAAGACTGTGAGCAGGCAGGTAGGTTTCTTTTATTGCAGAATAAACATGTAGGGGTTTATTTACTAAAGTTGGAGAGTGCAAAATCAGGCTCGCTTCTGCATAGAAACCAATCAGCATCTAACCTCAGCTTGTTCAATTAAGCTTTGACAATAAAACCTGGAAGCTGATTGGTTTCAATGAAGAAGTGAGCCTGATTTTGCACTCTCCAACTTTAGTAAATAAACCCCTACATGTCTTTTCTGCAATAAAGACATCTGTTGGTCCCAGTTTTTAAAAGCTGACTTTAGTTCCACTTTAGGTTCAACCTATTATAGTTCTAATGCGTTTTCAATATTGTACAGTATATATAAAATGTATCAAAAGTGCTTCTTGCAATTGATCACTTCATATTTGAGGAAAAATACTTTATATGTTTGTATTTATGTACAGGGAAACAAAAGACATAGCCAAAGTACAGAAAATACATTAGCATCATGGGAACCCCATGAGAAAATCTGGTACCTACAAACCCACCACTACTGGTCCAGAGCCAACAGCAAACTATGCAAAGAAGACCAAAAGGAAAGAAAAATGTGTACTGTTTCAAAGATTACCATGGATCCTCAAACAATAGCAAAACAAAGCCCCAAAACTACCTCAAACTACCTATAAAAATAGTAGGTCCCTGTAGAATTTGCTTTTTCTCCAAATAACTAAAAAGAATCTGGCTATGAAGAAATAACCCCTTATAAAAACATACCCCAGTATTGTATACCATCCATGAGCAAGAGATTTTGAGTATTGCCTGACAAACGCTTGTAGAAAGATAGGGTTCTGTTCATTTACCCCTTTAGTACATTATTATTTTCAATGCCCTGCCAACATACCTTGGGGGGTACCAGAGTGCACAGAAGACTGCAATAGCCCAGTGTACCTGGGTGCTTTCCAGCATGGTAGCTTGTGGAACTATTTTGACACAGAGAGAATTCAAAGTGTACCTCATCAGTCCTATCATGCAAGGGATACCTTAGTTAAGTAAATTACATTACTGATCACTTACAACAAACTTTGATTATCTAAACCCATGGTGCCCAACCTGCATGCGGCCATTTGGCACTTTTTGTGTGGTCCTCAGGTCCCCTGCAGACTCTAATCTGTGTTTCCCTATTGCCCTGTTATAGTAGTGATTTCTAGCAGTCTCATGCAATATGTCTCCAGTCTATGACTGTCTCCTGAATCTTATCCCCAGTCTCTAACAACTATAGCATGTTCATAATCTTTGAGTCTCCTGCAACATGTCCACAGTCTCTGACCATTATCCTTTAGTATATCTGTAGTCTCTAACCATCCCTTGTATCATGTCTGCTGTCTCTGACCATCTCATGTATCGTGTCTGCTGCCTCTGACCATCTTTTTATCTGTCTGCAGTCTCTGGCCATCTCCTTTATTATGTCCACAATCTCTTAACATCTCTTTTTAATCATGTCCATAGTCTTTGACTATATTCTGTTGTGTATCTGCTGTCTCTGACACTGAATATTTACTGAATTTAACTTGTGACCTTTTGGTGTTATTAAGGGCCACACCTGAGTCCCCCATGTAAAGAAAGTTGACCACCACTGATCTAAATCCTCACTGGATGTCCTTTAGTCCAAGTCTTCATTCAGATTGACACCTGTTCCGCACGTAGACTGCATTTGTTATTTTACATGCATCCACCCCCAAGCTGCATGCAGGCAGCCTATATAGAGGTGGGATGCAGATGCAGTGGCTACACTGTCACAGCCAGATGCAGCCAAAAACTTTGAAATGTGTGCAAGAGAGGGTGCCAGGATCTGAATACAGGAAGTGTGAGTTCAGCTCCATGTATGCGCTTCTGCACACATGTGAAATTTTGAAATGAAAGTTGCAATTGCAAAATTAGCAGCGGTTGTGACTCTAGGCAAAGTAATGTACCCTTACGTCGCTTTCTATTTCTGGGTGTAAGCGCGCATGTTCCCCCCAGCTGCCCCATCAGTCCAGGAAGAGAAGAGAGAACACCACGAGAACACCGAGTAAAAGTACTGCATTTTACACATGCACGTTAGATTTGCACATTTAACCCTTTGCTTGCGCCTATTAACCCTTTGATCACCCCATCACCCAGCCAGTGTCATTAGTACAGTGTCAGTATATAGATTTTTTCATTGATCACTGTATTACTGCCACTAGTGACATCATATAGCATTAGGGTTAGTTAGAGCCCTTCCCAGCCAGGGTCAGCTCATGTTAGATCGCCCGCACACTATTGCACTCACACTATAGGTCGCTGATCACCACCATGACTGTATTGTGTTTCTACGGATCATGTATTGATCACGAACAGAACTATTAGTGCCTCCTTAGTATAGTGTTCCCAAAAATGCAGTGTTAGCAGGATCAGCACTGTTCACTGCCAGCACTAGCATTTAGCACCTCTGCTGTTTTTCACCAAAGTTTTGTATGTAATTGATTGTGGGCCAAAGCAATGTGTACGCACAACAATACATCGCCACCCACCCAAATTCAGCTCTTGACAAATGATCAACATGGAAACCTATCACAGTTTCTGAATATTAAACTTTTTTGGGCCTAACCCTCAACATGTACATTACAAAAAATAATGAATTGCGGTCATATTGGTCCACAGACCTGGTTCATCATATGCCCATGTTCTCTGCTGTTACATACAGTATATGCCCATCAAGAGTACTGGTATGTCACTGGACATTCAGCGGTTATACCAGAATGACGCCTACAGCTGCAGGCATCATCCTGGTATTGTTTTTTTCAACTGGTGGTCGGCTTTCATGTAAAAGCAATCCTAGTGGCTAATTAGTTGCATTTGTACAAGCAGTGGGAAGAGATAACACCCTCCCCCCCCCCGACACCTTCTATGGCTTTCTAGGGCTCTCCCGTCCCCACAGGGGAATCTGAGAATGCAGGCAGCAGTTTCACCAGCTGAAGTCCAGAATGGCTCCAATCATCTCTATGGTCTAAGAAACCAGAAGCTGTGAACATTTCATAATTTCCTTTTCGCCAGATATAACAGCGCCATTTTTTAAATTGGGAAAGCATCTGATCACACCGGTGTTGATGTGATCAGATGCTTTAAGGGCAGAGGAGAGATCTAGCATTTAATGGACCCCAGATTTTTCAGAAAAATGTACCTTTCATTGCCATTGCTATCACAAGGGATATTTACATTCCATGTGATAACAATAAAAATAATCCCCCCCCAAAAATGGACAGTGTAAAAATTAAAAAAAAGAAAAAAATTACCTGCGCCCCCTCTTTCCCGTGCTTATGCGCAAAGGCAAATGCAAGCATCGGTCTCATGTCAGTATGTAAATAGAGATTGCACTATGCATGTGAGGTATCACCGCAAACGTCAGATTGAGAGTAGTAATTCTAGCACTAGACCTCCTGTGTAAATATAAACTAGTGACCAGTAAAGGCTTTTAAAATGTCGCCTATCGATATTAAAAATTTACATAGATTGTTGCCATTGCATGGGCGTGCGCAATTTTAAAGCATGTCATGTTTGGTGTTTATTTACTCGGCGTAACATCATGTTTTATAATTTATCAAACAATTTGTCAATATATTGTGTTTTTGTGCAATAAAAATTCCAAAAAGTGTATTTTTCTACAGAAAATTAGCGTTTGACAAATCGTCGCATAAATGCTCTGTGACTTGCAACAAAAAAAAAAATGCAACACCCACTATTTTATTCTCTAAGGCCCTGATTTAAAAACATATAATGTTTGGGGGGTGAAAGTAATTTTCTGACAAAACAGTTTTTTCATGTAAACAAAAAGTGTCAGAAAAGGCTTTGTCTTCAAGTGGTTAGAAGAGTGGGTGATGTGTGGCATAAGCTTCTAATGTTGGCTGTGAAATGCCAGGATAGTAGAAGCACCCCCCCAAATGACCACTTTTTGGAAAGTAGATACTCTGTATTTGCTAAGGGGCATGGTGGAGTATTTTGCAGATCTCATTTGTTGCCACAAGTTTTTGGAAAATGAAGAAAGAAAATGAAAATATATTTTTTCTTTTCTTTTTTTCTTTTTGCGAAAACCCTGTGACAAAATGATATCTGCAAAATACTCACCATGCCTCTTATCAAATTCCTTGGGGTGTCTACTTTCCAAAAAGTGGTCATGTGGGTGGGACGGGTGTTTTTACTATCCTGGCATTTTTGGGCCTCCGAAACTGTGATAGGTAGTGAGGAAGTGACATGAGGAAATATGCTCTTTGAAAGCCTGAAGTTGGTAATTAGATTTTGGAGTCCTGTATATGGCTAGGCTGCCAAAAAGTCTCTTCACATGGGGTATCCCCATACTCAGGAGAAGTAGCAGAATGTGTTTTGAGGTGTTATTCCACATATACCCATGGCATGTGTGAGCAATATATAATTTAAGTCACATCTTTGTGTGAAAAAAAAAAAAAACTTGTCATTTTCCAAAAATTTGTGGCAAAAAATATAATCTTCCATGGACTCAACATGCCTCTCAGCAAATTCCTTGGGGTGTCTACTTTCCAAAAAGGGGTCATTTTGGGGAGTTTTTGTACTGCCCTGATATTTTAGCCCCTCAAGAAATCAGAAAGTAAAAGCTGCGTAAATTCCAATATGTATACACCATAGATTGTAGACGCTACAACGTTCACACAAACCAATTAATATACATGTATTGGGATTTTTTTACCAAAGACATGTAGCAGAATACATTTAGGCCTAAATGTACGACTAACTTTGAGTTTATTGGATATTTTTTATAACCAAAAGTAGAAAATATCGGTTTGTTTACACAATTTACCACCACCCACCCATTGGTGATAAAATACCACCAAAATAAAGTTCTATTTGTATGAAAAAAGGATATAAATTTAGTCTGAGTACAACCTTGCATGACCAGTTGAAATAGTGTAGCACCAAATAGCAAAAAATGGCCTGGTCATGAAG